TAGAGCTGGTGCCCTGAATTCAGAGCTTCCTAAACTGTTAGAGAATAAATTTCTCTTTGTTAAAGCCATTCATTTGTGGTATTTCTGTTATAGCAGAACTAGATAACTAAGACAATACCTATTTTTGTCTTTTTATAAAAGAGAGATCATACAATATTTGTCCTTTAGTGATTGACTTATTTCACTCAGCATAATGTCCTTCTGATTCATTGATGTTGTTTCAAGGACTCATCATTATTCTTTACAGCTGCATAGTATTCCACTGTATATACCACATTTTGTTTATCCATTCATGTTGATGGGCACTTGGGTTGTATCTGTCTTTTTGCTATTGTGAATAGTGCTGTAATGAACATAGGTGTACATATGCTTGTTTGTGTCATTTCTATTGGGTCTCTAGGGTATATACCTAGCAGTGGGCCTGCTGGATCATAAGGTATTTCTATTTCTAGTTTTTTGATGAAGTGCCATACCATTTTCCAAAGTGGTTGTATCATTTTAAAGTCCCACCAGCAGTGGATAAGGGTTCCAATCTTCCTACATCCTCACCAGCATTTGTTTTCTGTTTTTTTTGATCAGTGCCGTTTTAGCTTGGTTGAGATAGCTCATAGTGGTTTTCATCTGCATCTCCCTAATGGCTAATGGGAATTCCTGTGTGGTGCAAACAGTTAAGTGTGAACCGCTAACCGAAAGGATGGCAGTTCAAACCCACCCAGAAGGTCCTCGGAAGTAAGGCCTGCTGATCTGCTCCCCAAAAGGTAACAGCCTTGAAAACCATATGGAGTGCAGTTTTACTGTGTACATGTGGGGTTGCCATGAGTTGGAATTGACTCGACTGCAACTAACAACAATGGCTAATGACATTGGGCATCTTTTCATGTGCTTGTTGACCATTTAAATATCTTCCTTGGTGAAAATGTCCTCTGCCCACTTTTTGATTAGGTTGTCATTTTGTTGTTGTTGTAGAAGTTTTATATATATTTTGAATATTAGACCCTTATCATATATCATTGATTTCCTTCATTAACTTTTATATTACAATTTTTTTTCTGGCTCCCCTTGATGTTCATTTTTTTCCCATATGAACTTTAGAATCAGTCCCATTAATTGAATAAAATCTCTTTGGTATGTTTATTGAAATTGCATTACATGTATAGTTTTATATATAAAGCATTGACATGATTATAATATTGAATCTTCTCATATAAGCACATCATATCTTCCCATAGATATTCATGTCTTCATTTATATTCCTCAGTAACTTTGTAAAGTTTTCTTTGTATAGGTTGTAATCATTTTCATTTATTCATAAATCTTCTTTTTTCAGTTAAGTTATGCTATTATATTTTCTTCTATTTTATAGTTGGTTGTTGTTTATATAGGGAGCCCTGGTGGCACAGTGGGTTAAGCACTTGGCTGCTAACTGAAAGGTTGGTGGTTCAAACCCACTAGCTTCTCCATGGGAGAAAGATGTGGCAGTCTGCTTCTGTAAAGATCACCGCCTTGGAAACCCTGTGTCTCGTGTTGTTGTTTTTGTTAGGTGCCGTCAAGCCGGTTTTGACTCACAGTGACCCTATGTATGATAGAATGAAACACTGCCCAGTCCTGTGCCATCCTCATGATCTTTGTTATGCTGGAGCCTATTGTTGCAGCCACTCAATCCATCTCATTGAGGGTCTTCCTCCTTTTTGCTGACGCTCCACTTTACCAAGCATGATGTCCTTCTCCAGGGACTGGTTCCTCCTGATAACATGTCCAAAGTATGTGAGTTGAAGTCTCTTCCCATTCTAGCTTCTAAGGAGCATTCTGGCTGTACTTCTTCCAAGTCAGACCCTACGGGGCAGCTCTACTCTGTCCTACAGGGTCACTGAGTCAGAATCAACTCGATGGCACACAACAACATGACGTGACAGGGACAATGTGGGGGACTGAAGCTAGAAAGATGTACAATGATGACTTCCCTCAAAGAGGTCATGGTCTAACGGGGAGTGCAGATGTAAATAGCTAAATAAAAACATAGTAGAGAGAGAGCAGTACAGACAACTCTAGGTACAGAGGCAGGGCCTGGAATGTCTAAAACAATGGGCCCTGAGAGATTAGGTTGCCCAAGTTCAAACAATGTGTAACTGGCAGAGGAAGTACTTCAGCTTGGCCAGATTTCAAAGCTACAAACTCATCCATTACCTGTGCCTGCTCCAGATGGAGCAATGCTGCAGAGAAGGGCAGATGGTGCTGCTGGACAGTTCTCAAGATAATTTCTGTCCAAAAAGCAGACATTCAAATCTAGCCCAACCCTGACTTTGTCCCCACCTCGCAAGCGTCAGGGTCAAGTATGATGGACTGCTGTAGCGAAGCCAGTAGTGTTCCCTGTGCACCAGCTGCTCCATGACTTCATTAGGCCAACTTACAGAGGCTGGCTCCCTTCTCTAACCATCATCGTCCTTAACCCGCAACAAGCCGAGGCTGGCCTTTTTAAGGTTGAGGCCCAAATGAAGTAAATGCTTGTAAGTGGCTTGGAAACAGTGATGAACTGGCTGGAGATCTCCACTCTGCCCCCACCTCCCTGCCATGCTTTGACTGATCAATGAGTCACATTGTTGTTTGAGGTCACCTATAAACCACAATATAAAAAATGGTAATGATAACCTCAGATTCTAGGTAAGTAATTTATGTAAGTCCAGAGTATAGCCACTTCCAAATCATTGTCTACTTCAGAGATTTAGCATCACCAATTCTAGAATTATCTATAAGACACGGAGGAGGGAAAGTAGAGAGGTAAAAAAAATCTGGGGAGGCTGTAACCCTCCTTGAATGCATGTGTAAACGTTTTAAAGTTGTTAAGTGGATGGTTGCATCATTTGAAAGATAGAAGTTTTAAATTATGAGTAATGTTGCTTAAAGCCTTTTGTTACTTCTTTGCTTATGGGCAGGGACCTCTTCTTCCCGAGGAGTAAAAGGATAGATCGAGGCCAGGACTTTGAATAAAAACCTCTAATCTTGAAATCCCATCATTCATTGAAATATAATGGGAGCTAATAGGGGTTTAGGTCCCTGGGTGGTACAAATAGTTTGTGCTCGACTATTAACCTAAGGTTGATGGACTGAACCCACCCAGCGGCACTGTGGAAGAAAGGCCTGGCAACCTGCTTCTGTAAACATTACAGCCAAGAAAAACCCTATGGAGCAGTTCTACTCTGTAACACCTGGAGTCACCATGAGTCGGAACTGACTTGATGGTAACGGGTTTGGTTTTGGTTTAACAGGGGTTTAAACAATTATTCAGAAGGGAGGCATGAGAGAGTATTGAGATCTGGAGTAGCCACTATAGGATATTTCAAGTAGGGCTGAGTCTGGAAACAACAGCCAATGTTTACTGAATGATTCCTGTGCTAAGGGTTTTACATGCATTACTCCTCACAATCCCCTGCTAAGTAAATATCGTAAAAAAGGGAAGCTGAGGCTTATAGGTCAGACAACTGGCACATGGAGAAGGGGAAACTGGAGCCAGCCAGTGGGCCTCTGGAGCCCATGCTCTCAGCCCGGTGCTCTATTGCATCTCAGTCCTGACTCTCTTACACTCAGTCTCGGCATGATGTGCATCAACTGGGGTCCAGTGGCTTCTCCTGACCAGTGCTGATGGCTGCCCAGCAGGCTCCAGAGATCTCCTTAGTTGCTGTTGAGGGGCGTTTGGAAGTTAGAGAGAGGCATGAGAGGGATGCTGCAGTTGGAGGTTGGCTGACTATTTAAGGAAAGTCTTCAAAGGAAGTGAAATTGTCCAGCCTTGTCTCAGCCTCTGAAATGCAGCTGTTACTGAATCACAAAAACCAAATTCACAAGACACCAGTGTGTGGAATACCAACTTACTCATCTGCAATGGTAAGATACACCCTTCTAGTGAGTGACCAGAATAGGCACTGTTCAGAGAACTCTCTTCTAAGAATCAAAGTTCACTGGAACCTCCTGTGTCATCACGGCTGCATTAGGTGAACTCAAAACGAGAATAAAGGCACAGGAGGCACTGACGTCTGGAATCCTAGGAGGGCAGCTAGAACTACAAAAGCACAGAGGCAGTCCAGGACCAATTAGTTTAGAAACGAGCACTCCAACTGAAGATAACAAGGCAGTACAGCAGAGTGTTTGTATCAAAGCATCGGTCAGTGCACTGAGAAGGCAGGAATGCATCTGAAGCAGTTCTGAAAGATGTCCAACAAAAACTGCTTAAGTTTCATGAAAGTGCTTTCTCTTAAGATGTATGGTGAGTGAGATAATCTTGGACTAAGAAACATACTACTGACTGTAAATTATTGGCATTAAAATGGGTCTACAGCCAGTAATCCAGGGCCATTACAGCTAAAACACAAGGAAGCTTTGGAGAGAATATCCCAGAAAGATTGAGGGACACTGGCTAAGAGCTCCTTGAAAACCTAGAACATAATAAAAAGATAGGTGTCTACAGAAAAATATTTCTGAAGAGATACAAAATTGTCAGTCAAAGGGGTATTTTCAAAGGCTGAACTTTAAAAAATTTTTTTTCTTTTGATACTGGGAAATATATACTTGTTAAATATCAAAGCTATGGCCCGTGCTTACGTTTAAGTCACATTTCTCAAAAAACTGTTCAAAATTCATGCTTCAATAGTGTTTGTACACATTCCAAAATACCGTACTGTGGTATAGCTTGACTGGTACTTAGAACACCAATGAAGGATGTCTTGACAAACCAAACGTCTTCCTATCTGGAATGCTCAATGACATAATTTACTATGTTGGCTCTATTCAACAAGCAGGGAATGAACTGTATTCTTCAAAGAGATAATAACAGAGCATGAGTACTGAGCAATCTGAGTGTTCCTCTAGAAGACACTGCTGCCTCTTCACTTCACCTGAGCAAAGCTCACGACGAATCACATCAGAGTTCATGGGCACTGGAGTAAATGACTAGTAAACCAGACTCATAAACTCAATGCTGTCGATACAGTGAGATTACACACCATTAATTAGTGTAAGAGTTTGATTTAAAGTCTTCAAAACTTTAAAACATACCTGTTTATTTCTTTTTGCACACAAAATAATTTACTCATAAAAGTAACTTCTATTTACAGAACTCTAACAGAATACTTTCAAAACTTGAAAATAAATATCACTTGTGTTGTCATTCTGCATTTTCCAGAGAAAATAAACCTTATTGGCATATAATGTTCTATCAAAATGGAAAGCTAAGTAAGTATGCTTTGCTTTTCACAATAGAAATAAGTATTCATGCTATCAGCCTTGAGAAATCACCTCATTGATAGGGAAAATCTGCTGGAAAATGGAATCACTGGAAAAAAGGGGTCTGCTGCCATCTACTGAATGGCAATAGTAATGTGTCCTTGAGTATTAGCTACAAAGCTGAGTAACATGCTCTAATTTTAGCTACATGCAACAATACATGTATACATGTGGACAAGGCCTGATAATTACATGCAAAAACAAAAACAATGCTCTGTAAAGATGGAGGAAATGATGGTTATTCTTTGTTTTTTCTTTTAAATGCTATCCCACCTCTAAAGGAGAAGAAATACGGGAAGACTTTGGCAAACTGAGAATCTGAAAAGTTCCATGATTAAGAGTCAATCAGTTAGGATCTCTTACTCATGGAGACGCTGGTGGAAGACAGTTATGTCCTTGCATATTTATGGCAAGTCAGAATTAAAGATTTAACCTTTTATCTTACTATTTACATAAAAAGCTGGTTTATCTGGAGAAAAGAAAAAACAAACAAACCATCAACCCAGACTGCCAATAAAATGGCACTTAGGGACTACAATGATAATCGAGGCCCACCATGATGAACTGGAGGCACAAAAAACCATAAAGGGCTTTTTGATCAACAAAGAGTAATAGATGTTTGTTTGGTCGAGTTCACGCCCCAGACCTCCTTAATCCCAACAACGCTGGAGAACGTTCGGCCAGAGCCAAGCTATGATCCCAACAGCCTCGGAAGGTAGACTTTATGCAACGTTTTCATGGGCTGACAAGTTTTTTTTTTTTTTTTTGGTAGTAGCTTTCGAGAATATTACTCTCCTATAAGGCTAGGGTGCCCTGAGTACTAACAGGATGCCTAAGACATGCTTGCGGTGTCCTTTCCTTCATAACGCTTCTCACAATGTATAATTTGTTTCTCATTTGTCTCCCCTCAGAGGGCAGGGGCCTTGTCTCTTCTGTCCATCAGCATATACCCAGCACTAATAATGTCTGGCACATGGTAAGTGCTCAGTAAATCAGCTGGTTGAATGAATGAATCAATCTCATACAGTCCAACCAAACTAGCGGGAAAAGGGAAAAAACGTCTCACAAAAATGAAGATGACAATGATGAAAGGAAGCAGCAGCAATAGTTCCATCAATTAGGGGTGGACTTGATGACAAAAAAACTGCCATTGTTCAACAACTAATGACACTTGTTTGGAGATTTAAAATACTCGTAACATTTTAACTGAAAGTTAATACAAAAACATTGTATTCTCTGGAAGACTCATTTACAATTAAGTTAATGAAAGCCCTATTACTACACCAGGCTGTAAGAGAGGCTCAGTGTTCTGTTTGTTTCAAGATGGAGAAGAGTCTGCTGAGTATGCCAGGTGAATGTCCAGAGTCCCATAGAGGGAGCGGAGCACAGTGAGGACCTTTTCTTGAATGCTGTCAACTTGCTCACAAGGACAGTAATCATCTAGACTTGACCTGGAACCAAGAAGAGAAAGAGAAAGAAGAGAAATACATATAAACAGGATAAAACCATACTCTGCAGTAAGGAAAAGCCTGCATGTGTTGATTTCAACGTAAAATAGAAGGAATGAAGGTGTGTTGAATTTTGCAATTTTAATAACAGTTGAAAAGTTACTAGACTTCTACCCTGTGCCAAGTGCTTCCCATGAATTATGCTCTTTAACGTAATTCAACTTTATAGGTTCAGTTGCTATCCCTTCAAAGGAGTGAGAAACAGAGAAAGGTTAAGTAACTTATACAAGGTCACATCACTAGTAAGCAGGTGCTGGTGACAGGATTCGAACCTAGACAGTGTGCCTTCAAAACCCAAGTGATTCATTGCGAGACCACTGCTTCCCTGAAAAGGGAGATGCACCTTGGGAATACAGGGGTTTATTATTTCACTGACTGGACATCTTTCTTAATCTTAATTATATATATATTTGGGCTAGAAACTATGAGGGTGGTGGTTTTCCAACCGATAAAAGGGATCAACTTCTTAAAAAAACTGTTAACTAAATTACATAGTGTAAAGGATCCATGGGATGGTCCAAAATAAAATGTAAGAATGTGCTGGTGCTGAGAAGTTTCCTAGGCAGAAGAAGAAAAGAGCAAAGTGGGGTGGGTAAGAATCTGGATCTTGGGAGTGTTTCCAGAAATCACTAACTACAACCTGAGCTGCACTGGGCAGTTAAATGTCACTGCCAATTCCAGCTGGGTTAAGATGTGAACTTATTTGATCAGTGTCTCCCGGTTCTAGACTGGGATGAGGAAAGCTATTGATAGGATGGATTGGAAAGAGCAGCATAGAGATCTTTATAGAGGGAGATGGAATTACAGTTATCTATCATACTCCTATCACAAGTATTTCAGACCTAAAGAAAACCTGTAAGACCTATGATAAACTTACTCCATACCTGATGATGAGGTTATTTCTGAGGCTTAATGTTAGTACTTAATACACAATGAATGATATCGAGCAACTTTAGGTTACTAAATACTGTCTAACATATACATATAAAGATCTAGTTTAAGACAGTGTCATATGTAAAAATTTAATTTACAAGCCTTAACAATTAAGGGGCATGTAAATTCTTTCCAATAGATTTCCGGCTTCTTTAAAACACTAGTAGAGTGGTTTGTGATGGAAGCTACCTCCAAGACGGTGTTTTAGAAATCTGTTGATACATTTTTGATTGTCACAATGACTAGAGGAATACTACTTGCATTTAGGGGGTCAAAACAGGAGGGTAGGGCTGTAGAAAGCTTGCAACACGCAGGATAGTCCTGCAATATGAGTAACTGTCCTGCATCCTGCATAATTTCCAAAGCCCACTGAGAACTCACTTAAGTGAAAGACCTGTTTACAATTTTTTGAGCCGAGAACTCAACACTCCTTTATATATACACAAAGTACTTTAAAAGTTGTTTTAATATGAACTGAATTTTCCAGAAACATGACTACTCTTTGAATTGAGGGAATACTGAACTTTAAATTCAGAACTTCAATAACTGGAAAAACCACCCATGCCACTCTGCAGTGTTGCTCATGGTATCTGAATACAACACACTGATACTTGTTACATTTAGTGATTCTCTGTAAAGATGAAAGTCTACAGTGGCATTTTAATACATATTATTTTATTATCAACTACTTTGTTTCTCCTTTACATTATAATGATATTTTGTGTGTGTGTATGTATATACATTTAAATTATGTGTATAAACCTGTTGTCTTAGAGGTGATTCTGACTCATGGTGACCTCATGTGTTCAGAGTAGAACTGCTCCATAGGGCTTTCTTGGCTGTAATCTTTTACGGAAGCAGATTGCCAGGCGTTTCTTCTGTGGCACTGCTGGGAGGGTTCAAACCACCAACCTTTAGTTTAGTAGTTGAGTGCAAACAGTTTGCAGCACTCAGGAACCTTAAATTAAGTGTATAAAGCCCAAACTCATTGCCGTCAAGTCGATTCCGGCTCATAGCAACCCTATAGGGCAGAGTAGAACTGCCTCATAGTTTCCAAGGAGCAGTTGGTGGATTTGAACTGCTGATCTTTTGGTTAGGAGCTGTAGCTCTTAATCACTGCACCACCAAGGCTCCTAATATATGTATAAATATATATGTAAAATAATTATATAAAATCATAATATAATGATTAAAAGAATTCAATGTGTTTATGTTTTAAAGAAAATAGTTCTTAAAGTGAATATACTATATTACATAAATATTCTTATTATTGGCCTAAGTATTTAAAGTACTTCTTTTAGAACCTCACAGTTCAATATAAAATCAGGCTAAAGATTAACACAGGACAGAAAGTTAGCTTTATTAAATTGTTGTAGCTATTCAGCACATTAGTATGTTCAAATATAAAAATGGCAGCAGCTAAGTATTCATTTATAGGACACAGAAATGTAAATTCTTGGGTTCATCTGAATAATATCACCAACTTCAAACATAAAACAATAATAACTGTACATTGTTTGCCTACTATCGCTAATAGGAAAGAGAAAATACAACATCTAAATTTCGACCCAAGAGGATAAAAAATAATATTAAGTATTACTGTATAGTTTCCCATTTCTGCTGTAAAAAAATTACCACAAACTTATTGGCTTAAAACAACCAAAATTTATTCTCTTACAGTTCTGGAGGTCACAAGCCCTAAAATCAAGGTGCTGGCAGGGCTGCGTTGTTCCTTCTGTAGGCTCTAGGGGAGAATCTGTTTCCTACCTTTTCTAGCCTCTAGAGGCTGCCTGCTTCTGGGCTCACGGCCCCATCCTCCACCTTCAAAGCAAGCAGCATATAGCATCTTCCAGTCTCTCTGACTCTGACCCTCTTGCTTCCCTCTTATAAGAACCTTTGTGATTCCTCTGGGCCCATTCAGATAATAAAGGATAATCTCCTCATCTTGAGGTCCTTAAACTGATCACATCGGCAAAGCCCCTTCTGTCATATAAGGTAATACATTTACAGGTTCTGGGGACTCTACAGGTGGGGGTGGGGGGGGCATTGTTCAGCCTACTAAACTTACCTTGCAATTGTCACAAGTGTAGGTTTTGGTAAGTGTTTCAGTAAACAATATACAGACTGAATAAGAGACTCTATTTCTTGTTCTGTGCTGACGTGGTGAGGAAGTTCTGAATAATCACAGGTCAGACCAGCCTGGTGAACCTGAAAACAAAACAGCTAAAATTTACACTGTGAGATGAGCCTGGTGTTTTTAAGAGTCTTTAATCATTAATGGCCTTGTTGACAAATCTTTCTATTTTTTAATATTTTTTGGATTGGGACTTTTTTGTTCTTTAACAGCTTCTGTGTTAATACAAGTTATCTGTTCTCTCAAGTTTTGGTAGAATTGGCTTGTACACTGGTTTTGGCCTGAGGCCTTTTTCAGGAATAATTTTTCTACTAATTCTTTATTTTATGATTATTGCATCATCCAGTTTCGTTATCTCCTCGAGTCAATTTTCATAATTCACATTTTTTAGTGAATTATGCACTTCACCTAGATTTTAGAAGTTACTGAGATAAAACTGTATGTAATAGTCTCATCTTACCTTTTCAACAAACTGTTTTATCTACTTTTCAAAATCATGCACATAATGCTACATTTGAAGCTTCGAGAGGGTACTACAAGGGAAAATCTTCCTATCTTATTTCACTTACTGTTAAAAGTTGCTTGTGTTATCTTTTATATTTAACCAATATCTACGTATCTACTTTGAATGGCATTCTAGTCTTAGCACTAAGCTAAATATGTCTACAAGCTAGAACTGGCTCACAGGTTGCCATTTTGCAACCTCTGTTTTAAAGTTTTGAAAACTAGAACTCATATCTGTCACAGTTTTGCCTAGAGTACATAAGTACAAAGCATGGAAAAAATTTTTAATAATTTACTAGTTAATTAGAGGCTTTGGATACACTCAAAGATTTAACTGGCAAAGACCAGTCAATGTAGTAAAATGACAGATTCTGCATGTTCTTTTGCACTAACATGATTAAACCACACAGTGTTCTAACAGTGCGGCTGTAGACACATATATGATTACATAACATGTGACTAAGCCCATGCCAGAGCCCTGGTGGTGCAGTGGTTAAGAGCTTGCCTGCTAACCAAAAGGCTGGCAGTTCAAATCCACCAGCCACTCCTTGGAAACCCTATGGGGCAGTTCTACTCTGTCCAATAGAGTTGCTATGAGTTGGAATCGACTCGATGGTAATGGGTTTGGTTTTTTGGTTTTAAGCCCATGCCATTCGTCCTTCCATAAACCAGAGCTTCAAACTAAAACTAGTTCATTCTGGTTCAACTCCCTCCTGAAATTTGCATTTCTACCCCAGATATGCTGAATCAGAATCTACAGCTTAACAAGATACCCATGTGATTCTTGCGTATAATAACAAGATCCCCAGGTGATTCTTATGTATAATTTATTATCACTTGGGGATTTTGTTAAAATGTAGATTCTGATTCAGTATATCTGGGGTTTAAAAAAAAAGAGAAAATTCTCAGCAGAGGGTCAAACCAGTTCAAAACCCTGCCAAAAACATTGCATTAAAAGTCCCCAATAACCAAAAAAAATCCAGATGCAATGTAGTGATTAAAGCAGATCTGCCTGAAGACACGTTCAATATCACATGCCCTCCAAGCATCTTCAAATCCTAAGTCTCTTCCAACTCTATCATTCTTAATCATTACCATTTTAGAAAAGGGTGGGTTGTGGATTAGCTCAGGTTTAACCAAAATAGTCTTCTGCTGGTATCTCTTATCCTTCTAAATTTGGCATTAAATCAAATACTTAGACTTCAGTTCACATTAGGTGGCTGGACTGTATTCCAAAACAACACAAAACAAAAACACAACCTATTGAAGAACTAGACTAAGAGGCAGAAGACTTAGGGGTCTTAGCCCTGTCATAAAACCTCGGGAAAGTTACTTAGACTCTTCAAGCCTTAGTTTTTTTATCTCTAAGTACTGGGTCAAATGTGAAAATATGTGCTTCAGAGACAGTAAAATGATATAAAAATAAAAGAAATTATGATTAAAAATATCATCTTTTGCCATAGCATTCAGCTCACTGTTGACAAAGTCAGTTACACAGCCATGGCTCCCTCTGCTTGCTTTCTTTTTTGGTTTTCCAGCCAAAACAATTTTCAGAGAGAGGGAAAGGAAGGATGAGGAAGGGAAGATAAATATGAATGAAGACTCAACAACTTTAGAAATAGTGTACTTTCTACTTTGTGGTGAGAGATCCAACCAGACTCTGGCTCACCCCTTCTATCCAATATGTGGAACTTTTGCCTCACACATAAAACTGGGAAAAGAATATTTTGTAGGGAAACTTTTCCAGTGTTCTGGCTTCTAAAAAGTATGTATTTTTAACTTATTTCTTCTGTCAATAATTCATTCAGAGTTCCCAGGAACACAAATAAAAATGAGTCATTTTAACAAAGAGCAAACTTTTCTACCTAGAAAATTTTCTTTATAAACGGTCAGTTTTATACTTCAATATAAATTATTTACCATTTCATAGTCTGGCACTGCCATCCGTTTTTTCAAACTCCGTATAAGCGGAACTAGTGACTCCATTCTGGAAAAAAGCCATGGCCTCTCAATTAAACATCATAACCATCTCAACAAAAATTACAGTAGTAAATGATATATTATACTTAAAATTTATCATTAACAATGTTTTATATGATGCTTATGAAATAAAAGATAAAGGTGTTCAAATATTATCTTAAAATATTAAGAAATAAATGTTCACTACTGTTTTCTCACCCAAAAGATTACATTGTGTTAAAGGCTGAAAAACAGCACTCAAGAAAATGAGATTTTCTTCCTCTTTAAAGATGGAAGTTCTACTGTGACTTTAAAAAATATTCTGATCAGCAGGAAAACTAAGTGCTTTTAGTACACTGATAAAAAAGATACACAGTTTCCCAAAAGTAAAAGAAAACAATAAGGGACACATTTATTGACATATACAATTATAAGCAGAAAGGTGCTAAATTATACATTAACAATGGTACTTTTATTTAATTTAGCTAGAGCTCTTCGGAAGCTCTGATTAATGTTTTTGGTATCTTAATGCCTCCTCCCTCTCCGTCCCTGCAGTATCACTAAGTGGCTGGAAGGGAAAAAAGAAAGAAAAAAAGAGGCACAGAGGTCTGCCTTGCCACTCATCCTGTTACTTCTTCATTTATATTAATGATACTTTCTGGGCCCAAAGCATCCACCTACTCTACTTCCTTAAAAGTGAAGACTTCCCCATGCTGAGGGACTGGCCCTTCAGGGGCGAGGTTAGTTTGAGGAGACTTTTTGTGGCACTGTTCCCCCTTTTCCTTTGTACTACTCTTCCCCCCACTCCAATTCCAACCACAGTCTAAACTCACTGCTGTGGCAGTCTCACTGTTTCTTCCAGTCTGAGACATTTTAATATGCTGACTTTTTCATCAGTTCACTAAAACTCCCTGCACTGACTAACAGCTAACAAGGCATGCCAGCAGCCAGGGTGGGTTTCAGCGCAAGATGGCCCCATCTATGGGCTACAGGATTCACGATACTGAGGTTTTCAGGCATGCTTGTTTATTGCTTAAGTTTTAAACTTGAGACTTTATGAAATTACCAAACAGTAGGTACTTTTCAGTATTTCAATATTTCTAGGAAGACTCACGTCAGGTGACTAATTTATAATCCTAATTTCATCAAGGATGGAATTATTTTTTAGGACTAGCCCCCTATACTGGAGAGAAAACGCATTAACTGATGTTAGAGTACTTGATCAGTATTTACTGATGTGACTACTACTGTTACAGATTATTCTTCTACACCACTGCTTTTCTTAGGGACAATAATTTGAAGTTTTATGATATTTACATTAGAGGGATGTTTCTGAATATTTATTTTTCTGAATAATTTATTTTGAAGTAAAAATTAAAAACAATACTTTGAATAGCTAATATATGCACTTAAACAAAATATGAATCAAGGAAAATTCGAAGTTGTCAAAAATGAAATGGAACAATAGAAGATCGATATCCTACGCATTAGTGAGCTGATAACCAAATGCAGAAATTATCGAACAATATCATTAATATCACATGCAAGCAAAATTCTGCTGAAAAGCATTAAAAAATGGCTGCAGCAGTGTATCAACAGGGAACTGCCAGAAATTCAAGCTGAAGAGAATGTGGAACCTAGGATATCATTGCTGATATCAGATGGATTCTGGCTTAAAGCAGAGAATACTAGAAAGATGTTTACCTGTGTTTTATTGATTCTGCTAAGGCATTCAACTGTGTGGATCATAACAAATTATGGATAACATTGCAGAGAATGGCAATTCTGGAACACTTAATTGTGTTCATGAGGAATCTGCACATGGATCAACAGGCAGTCATTCAAACAGAACAAGGGGATACTGCATGGTTTAAAGTCAGGAAAGGTGTGCATCAGAGTTGTATCCTTTCACCATACGTATTCAATCTGTATGCTGAGCAAATAATCTCAGAAGCTGGACTACATGAAGAAGAACATGGCATCAGGAATGGAGGAAGACTCATTAACAACCTGTTATGCAGATGACACAACCTTGCTTGCTGAAAGTGAAGAAGACTTGAAGCACTTACTGATGAAGATCAAAGACCATAGCCTTCAGTATGGATTACACCTCAACATAAAGAAAACAAAAATCCTTACAACTGGACCAATAAGCAATATCACGATAAACAGAGAAAAGACTGAGGTTGTCAAGGATTTCATTTTACTTGGATCTACAATCAACACCCATGGAAGCAGCACTCAAGAAATCAAAAGACGCACTACACTGGGCAAATCTGCTGCAAAAGACCTCTTTAAAGTGTTGAAAAAGAAAAATGTGACCTTGAGGACTAGGGTGTGCTTGACTCCAGCCATGGGATTTTCAATGGCCTCATATGTGTGTGAAAGCTGGACAATGAATAAGGAAGACTCAAGAAGAACTGACGCCTTTTAATTGTGGTGTTGGTGAAGAATATCGAATATACCATGGACTGCCAAAAGAATGAACAAATCTATCTTGGAAGAAGTACATCCAGAATGCTCTTAGGAGCAAGGATGGTGAGACTATGTCTCACATACTTTGGACATGTTATTAGGAGGGATCAATCCCTGGAGAAGGACATCATACTTGGTAAAGAAGAGGGTGAGCGAAAAAGAGGAAGACCCTCAAGGAGATGGACTGACACAGTGGCTGCAACAATGGGCTCAAGCATAACAATGATTGTGAGGATGGTGCAGGACCAGGCAGTGTTTCGTTCTGTTGTGCACAAGGTTGCTATGAGTCAGAACCGACTCGACAGCACCTAAAAACGACAGTGAGCTGAAAATGGACTGGTATTGGCCATTTTGAATTGGACAATCACATGGTTACTATGCCAGGAATGGCAAACTGAAGAGGAATGGTGTCACATTCCTTATCAAAAGAACATTTCAAGATCTATCCTGAAATACAACGCTGTCAGTAATAGGATAATATCCACACACCTACAAGGAAGACAAGTTAATACGACAATTATTCAAATTTACACGCCAACCACTAATGCCAAAGAGGAAGAAATCGAAGATTTTTGCCAATTTCTGCAGTCTGAAATTTATCAAACATGCAATCAAGGTGCATTGATAATTACTGGTGATTGGAATGCAAAAGCTGGAAACGAAGAAGGATCAGTAGCTGGAAAATATGGCTTCGGTGACAGAAATGACACTGGGGATTGCATGATAGAATTTTGCAAGACCAACGACCCATTCATTGCAAATAACATTTTTCAACAACATAAATGGCGACTATACACGTGGACCTCACCAGATGGAAGACACAGAAATCAAATTAACTACATCTGTGGAAAGAGACGATGGAAAAGCTCAGCATCATCAGTCAGAACGAGGCCAGGGCTGACTGTGAACAGACCATCAATTGCTCACATGCAAGTTCGAGATGAAGCTGAAGAGAAAATTAAAACAAGTCCACAAGAGACAAAGTATGACCTTGAATATATCCCACCTGAATTTAGAGACAATCTTCAGAATAGATTTGACGCATTTAATACTAATGACTGAAGACCAGATGAGTTGTGGGATGACATCAAGGATGTCATACATGAAGAAAGCAAAAGGTCATTAAAAAGACAGGAAAGAAAGAAAAGACCAAAATGGGTATCAGAAGAGACTCTGAACATAGAGAAGGTAAAGTGAATGGAAGAAATGATAAAGTAAAAGAGCTTAACAGAAGACTTCAAAGGGCAGCTTGAGAAGACAAAGTAAAGTATTATAATGAAATGTACGAAAACCTGGAGTTAGAAAACAAAAAGGGAAGAACATGCTTGGCATTTCTAAAGCTAACAGAACTGAAGAAAAAATTCAGGCCTTGAGTTAGAATACTGAGGATTTTATGGCAAAAAAATTGAATGATGCAGGAACCATCAAAAGAAAACAGAAAGAATACAGTCACTGCACCAAAAAGAATTGGTTGACGTTCAACCATATTTTAGGAGGTAGCATATGATCAGGAACCGATGGTACTGAAGGAAGAAGTCCAAGCTTCATTGAAGGCACTGGTGAAAAACAAGGCGCCAGGATTTTATGGAATACCAATTGAGATGTTTCAACAAACAGATGCAGCACTGGAAGCGCTCACTCGTCTATGTCAAGAAATTTGGAAGTCAACTACCTGGCCAACCAACTTCCACAAAGACATTTATTGCCATTGATTTGATTCTGACTCAGCAACCCTACAGGACAGAGTAGAACTGCCCTATATGGTTTCCAAGGCTGTAACCTTTATGGGAGCAGATGGCCATATCTTTCTCTTTCTGGTGGGTTTGAACTGCTAACTTTTTAGTTTGCAGAAGAGTGCTTTAACCACTGTGCCACCAGGGCTCCCTGGCCAACTGATTGACAGAGATCCATGTTTGTGCCCATTCCAAAGAAAGGTGATCCAACCAAATGCGGAAATTATCCAACAATATCATTAATATCATATGCAAGTAAAATTATGCTGAAGATAATTCAAAAATGGTTGCAGCAGTACATACAGAGGGAACTGCTGGAAATTCAAGTTGGATTCAGAAGAGGATGTGGAATGAGGGATATCACTACTGACATCAGATGGATCTCGGCTGAAAGCAGCAAATACCAGAAAGATGTTTACCTGTGTTTTACTGACTATGCAAAGGCATTTGACTTTGTGGATCATTTAACAAATTATGGGTAACAGTGCAAAGAATGGGAATTCCAGAACACTTCATTGTACTCATGCAGAACCTGTACATAGAGGAAGAGGCAGTCCTTTGAACAGAACAAGAGGATACTGTAGGAAACTTGTGTGTCAAGGTTGTATTTACCATACTTATTCAATCTATTTGCAAGCAAATAATCCAAGAAGCTGGACTATATGAAGAAGAATATGGCATCAGGATTAGAGAAAGATTCATTAATAACATGTATTTTGCAGGTGACACAACCCTGCTTGCTGAAAGTGAAGAGGACTTGAAGCACTTACTGATGAAGATCAAAGACTACAGCCTTCAGTATGGACTACACCTCTATGAACATAAAAAAAAAAAAATCTTCACAACATCATGATAAACAGAGAAGAGACTGAAGTTGTCAAGGATTTCATTTTATAATCAATGCTCACAGAAGCAGCAGTCAAAAAATCAAACGATACATTACACTGGGCAAATCTGCTGCAAAAGACTTCTTTAAAGTGTTAAAAAGCAAAGATGTCACTTTGAGGACTAAGGTGCACCTGACCATGGTATTTTCAATCACCTGATATGCATGCGAAAGCTGGACAATGAAGAAGGAAGACCAGAGAAGATTTGATGCCTTTGAATTATGGTGCTGGTGAAGAATATTGACTATACCACAGACTGCTAGAAGAATAAACAAATCTGTCTTGGGAAAAGTACAGCCAGAACGCTCCTTGGAAGCAAGGATTATGAGACTTCACTTCGTGACATACTTTGGACATGTTATCAGGAGGGATCAGTTCCTGGAGAAGGACATCATGCTTGGTAAAGTAGAGGGTCAGCGAAAAAGAGGAAGATCCTCAACAGGATGGACTGACATAGTGGTTGCCAACAATGGACTCAAACACAGCAAGGACTGCGAGGATGGCACAGGACTGGGCATTGTTTTGTTCTGTTGTGCACAGGGTTGCTATGCAACCCACTTTACGGCACCTAACAGAACAAAACACAAAACAATATATGCACATAGCAGAACAGAAGGTATTTTTCCCTCGTATACTTAATCTTTCAGTTATACAATTCTCTCCCCAGAGGCAACCACTGTTCAAGTTTGTTCTGAATTCCTCTAGAGATCTAATGAATTATTTTCAATAACTATAACATGACAAATCATAGTAACTATTCATGTTCTGGCCCCAAAGAACAATGATTCTAACTCCCCATTTTGATGTTCCTGTCTTATGACTGACCTCTTGTATTTACACCATAGAGAATAATCTCACAGTTTTAGGAGATCAATTTTTAAATAAGCTAGTTCTTGTCTTCCTATGCTCACGGGAATCAAAAGTTTATGTGAGTATTTTATTTTAGTTTTCTAGCCTTTTGAATTTTCATGATTTAAAGAATTCTTTTAGAGAAAAGTAACGACAATACTCATGTCAATATTCCCTCAAGTCAGCTTCAACACCAAATGCATTCTTAATTAAGTGCCCCAAATCAACACATCATCACTCTAAAAGGACTTCTTGCTCCACACTTTCAAAGAAAAGTTAACCAAGAGAGAATTGGTCAAATGAATGACCTGATGAAGAATCCAGCTTTCAAATTCTGCTCTTTCATGTCATGAGCATGTTGAAAATAAACTCTTCTACTTGTAGCTGGGCTATTCTTAAAAAGAGGCCAGTTTTCACATTGTAATCCACTTGTCAAGTAATCTATTTTTCAGTTGATAATATTTTTTTTTTAGTCATTTAGACGAGGCACTATCTCATTCATATTTAATCCTCTGTAACACCTACCACAATATCTTGTACAGTGAAACCTGTGAGAGCCGGAACTGAATGGGACTGCCTTGTTTTTCTGCAAGTTTTCTGCTTTTGATAGGATGCAGTCGTACCACTTTTCTATTGCTTGTATTAGTGGAAAATATTTGAGTTTTCCTTCTCTGATAGGTTTTTGCCTTACAGATTCCCGCTTCTGCAGGTTTTATTGTACACTGTGGCAGCTACAGCACAATGATTAAAAGCCTGGCCACTTACTATATGATTTTGGGCAACTTATCGAACCTTGGTTTCCTCAGTTTCCTCATCTATAACATGAGTATAATAATACTGAAACCGTAAAATTGTTAAAAGGAATAAATGAGTCAGTGCAACTAAAAATCTCAGAATCGTACTGCATACACAGTAAACCCTCAATAAATATTAGCTACTGTTAATAAATATGTGTTAAATTTAATACTTTTTTTTTTTTTTTTAGCAATTTATCTAGCAGGCTTAGCAACCTGGGACTGCAAGCTAGCAGAATAAGAGGAAAAATGTTTGGGGTTCTTACCCAGGGTTTGAAGCCCATCTCTGTATAGTGTCTTCATCATCACAATCACACAAATCAGCAAAGGTAGCTTCTAGATCTTCTAACTGATGAGTTCGAGTATCAACACAGTCTACTAGATCTTCCTTTAAAAACACATTTGAAAGCTGAGATTATTTAGTTAATTATTTCAAAAGACAAAGGAGATTTCATTACAATGAAAATCTTGGTTCAGTTTGTTAAAATATGATTTTCAAGTATTAACCATGGGCTTCACCAATAAACACCCACACAGACACACATACACACACAAACACAAAGAATTTCAACAGTCCTTTGAGATCACTCAAATAAGCTGTAAGGTATTATTATATACACAACAAATAGATGATACCCCAAAGAAACAAATGGAGGATACCTGTGTTAGGTTGGTGCCAGGCTTTTTAAACTGATATAGCTCTTGTAGGATTTTGTACTCTTCCTGGAAAACAAAACAATCCATATACCAGAAAAGAAACGAATTTTTTACGATGATATGCTTTAAGTGAAACACAACTTAGCCTCGGCTCTGATACAAGGAGAATACCTTAGATGATTATTTAAAGGTTATTCTGGGAGAATCAGGCTAAATATATTATTTTAGATTTCTATTGTAAATATTGGAGCCCTAGTGGTGCAGTGGTTAAGAGCTACGGCTGCTAACCAAAATGTTGACAGTTCTATTCTGTCCTATAGGGTTGCTATGAGTCAGAATTGACTCCATGGCAATAGATTTTTTGTTTTTTTTTTTAATCATGAATATTAAAGAGCCCTGGTGACCCAACAGTTAAGCTCTTGGCTGCTAACTGAAAGGTCACTGGTTTGAATGCACCAGCAGCTCTGTGGGAGAAAAGACTCAGCAACCTGCTCCCATAATGATTACAGCCCAGAAAACCCCATCGGGAGCTTCTAGTCTGTCATAAAGATTTGCTATGAGTTGGATTCGACTTGACAGCACACAACAACATTATTGTAAATATTATCATCTCTTCAGGGCAACTCTATCCAGCTGGGTATGATGACAATAATGCATAAAAATTAGCTAGGGAAGACTTGGTGGCCTATGGGTTATGAGATGAATGATTTCTAATAGTATTTCACTATATAGATGGACACATCCTAGGATCAAAACAGATTTCAGCTATATATAGGAAATACGTTGTTGTTGTTAATTGGATGGTTATAAAGGTCACCAGCTCCACATACAATGGCAAGAGGAAGGGAGAAATTTTTCTCCCTTATTTGCAAGTTGGAAGAACACTCTAGGTCCCCCATTCTTGCTCCAGATTACACTTCATCCCCAAATCTTAACTATTTTTAATCATTGCCTACTAGAAGTCTTTTACAGATAAATCACAATGGTTTCTGATATACATATATAATAAAGTGCAACACCATCACCACCAGCATCATTAGCAATCAAATACTGAACATAGGCAGACCTGCATCTAAGACCTGCAGAGGTACACTAACGATCACAGACCTGATTACAGCTACAAATAGTGGCATGTGTAACGAAACACCTCCTTGTTAAATGAAAAATCTGTAACAGAGGGTTTTATATGCATAGAACATCTCTGGCTACGGTATTTATTTGTGAGGTAAGGAACTGAGGGAATGGGGATAGGACTAAAATAGGTATTTTTCAATGTTCATGCATTTGTATGATTTTATTTTTTTCAACCACTCATGTACATATTTTCCTAATTAACAGATGAAAATAATGAATAGTATCCAGAGCAGGGCTTGACAAATCACAACTTAGCGTTTTCATATGGTCCTCGAGTTAAGAACGGGTATTGAGTTTTAAAAGTTTAAAAACAAAACATAACAAAAGTAAAGATTATGTGAAAGAGGCTGTATGTGGCCCCACAAACATAAAATAATTACTATTTGGCTGTTTGTAGAAAGTTTGCCAATCCCTGATCTAGAGAAATATGGTATAATTATCAAGATCTGTATTTTAAAAACACCTTATTTACCTGAGTGAACATTTCTTTGAAAGGATTCTTGACTGAAAAAAAATCTAAGTCAATATCTAAAACAAATGCATCCCCCTTCTTCAAAATTTCCAGAACTTCCCTAGTTTTGACTGCAGTCTGGCATTCCTGACTCTCAGAACATGAACATGATGGTTCCAGGCAAGCTTGGCCACTTTTCTGTGTCACTGTGTCCTTTTCCAGTCCTTCTGAATAAGAGTCACAGTTAGGAGAGGCGGTGCTTTCCGCATCTTCCAGTGCTAGCTTTGGCTTCTTAGCAGAAGAGACGGCGTCATTTCCTTCTTGGTTGTTACAGAGTTTGTAAGGTTTTACCATAATTACATCCAAATGTAAAGGTTTTTGGTTCTCTAGCTGGTCTTCAGGTACATAAAGACCATCACTTAGGAAGTAATGATCTGTACTTGTAACCCTGGATCAGAGGAAAAAACGATTTTTAAAGAAAAATGAACCAATGAACTGATACTTCACTATGGCATTGCAGAAATACAAGAAAGGACACATTGGACAAAACCTGAGAGTTGACTCCAATATTTGTGCCTCCTGTTTTTCTACAGAAATAGGATCCCCCAAATGGTTAGCTGGGCACACAACTGCCTAAAGTAAAGATGACATTTCATGGTCTACCTTGCTGCTAGATGTGGCCATTTGGTTGAGAACAGAAGTGTAAAAAGCCTTGCTCTCCCCTTCTCTGCCGACTAGAATGAGAACATGGTAGTGGCCTGCCACCTTGGACTATAAGGGCAACATTCTAGAGATGGTGGAGCAAAAATATAGACAGAAGCAGGGACCCTCAAACTGTAGAGCTGTGACATAAGCCTTGGACTGTCTGTGTGAGTTCTAATATGAGAAAGAAATAAGCTACCCTGTTTAACCCAGTGCTACTCTGGATCTCTCTCATAGCAGCTGAGTCTTTATCCAAAATAACACTTAGAGAAAAGTGACATTTGGAAATAATTCCTTTTAACAGAAGTGCCCTGTTATGGATTGAATTGTGTCCTCCCCAAAATATGTGTTGTAAAACCTAATGCTTATATCTGTGGTTATAATCCCATTTGGGAATGGGTTTTCTTTGTTATAAGTGGCCATATCACTGTAGGGCGTGTTTTAAACCAATCACCACTGACATATAAAAAGAGCAGATTTGGACAGAGAAGGTAGCAGAGACAGGGGAAGGTAGATACCATGCCACATGAAGATCACCAAGGAGTCAAGAAATAGAAGTTGAAAAGAGACAAGGACCTTCCCCCAGAGCCGAAAGACAGAGAAAGCCTTCCCCTAGAGCTTGCACCCTGAATTTGGACTTCTAGCCTCCTAAACTGTGAGAAAATAAAGTTGTTTGTTAAAGCCACCCACTTGTGGTATTTCTGTTTTAGTAACACTAGAAAACTAAGACATGCCTTCTGCCATGTTTCAAAGCTTCATTAACCTTTATATAATATTTTTAATATGAATAAAACCTAAACCAAACCCTTTGCTGTCAAATCGACTCATAGTGACTTCAAAAAAAAAAAAAAAAAAAATCTTGCACATTTGTAGAATGCATTTCACAAGTTGTGGTCTTCTGACTTTAGACACATCAGCATAGTATGCCCTGGTAACTACTTTGAATAGTGAAGCCCAATGCTTCTTCCAGAGGCAGGTCCCATTAAACTAAAATAAGTTAATATTTATGTCCCTCCCCCAGCATATATAGCTGTAAATTTAAAAAGGCATAATTTTCCAAAAAGATTAATCACATAATAAAACTAATGCCCAAGCTTATTAAAAAGTGTACCATCCTAAGAAAGACAAAGGCTGTATCCCCCAATCTAAATCTGTATTCTTCTAAATAGCAGAAGTTTTACTTTGTTCATACCTATACAAGGGAGCTCTGGTGGAGCAATGGTTAAGTGCTTGGCTGCTAAACAAGTTGGCAGTTCAAACTCACACACTGGCTCCACAGGAGGAAGACCTGGCGATCTGCTTCTATAAAGATTACAGCCAAGAAAACCCTATGGGGCAGTCACTCTTTTACATGGGGTCGCTATGAGTCTGAACCGACTCAACGGCATTCAACAACAACAACATACGTACAAACACACATGTGTATCTCCGACTGCATATATGTATGTAAGTGTGTCTCTTCCATATGTTTTCACTTGCAGGATTAACTAAAATTATGAGATCAAAACCTTCCTAATATTGTTACCACACATTGAGTTTCAAGTGTCTATTTAAGATTGCTCAAAATTATATGATTTTTCAGAAACCTGCTACAGGTTATGAGTTGGAATCAACACGACAGCACCAGGTTTTGTACGTACCCACTTAAGTACCCAATACAAGTCCTACCACTCTTTCACAAATACCAGTATAAAAGTATTTCACCATATACTGAATCTTAATTCTTTACTTTTTTTATTATATCCATTTTCACATATATATAACAAACTTATTTGTGCAAGTGATATGAACACATACAACAAAAGTTAATTGTATCATTAAAGATAGATCAGAAATAAAAAGTATTATTTTCAATGAGAAAGTCTGCATTTCATTTTCAATGTATTATTATTTCATCCCACTATCCTTCAGGTTCTAGAAAGTTACGGTTACACCGATTAAAATATTCATCCCATCACAATAAAATTTAGAAAGTCAAGAATATTCTGGTATTTCTAAGGGTATTACTGTATCACAAGATACACAAAACATTGGTTAAAAAGTTTACACAACAAAAATAGTTGTACATGTAACACTAGTGGAGAATGCCGTAATTTAAGTAATTACCTAAAGCTAATCATATTAATTATAATTTATAATTATGTTATACTTTATTATAATTAAGTTGAATCAAATAATGATTATAATACAGCTATTAATTATAATTTATAATTATAATCACATAATCACATTACTTTCATTTTACTTGGATCCACAATCAACACCCATGGAAGCAGCAGTCAAGAAATCAAACCATGTATTGCACTGGGCAAATCTGCTGCAAAAGACCTCTTTTAAGTGTTGAAAAGCAAACATGTCACTTTGAGGACTAATGTGCACCTGACCTAAGCCATGGTATTTTCAATAGCCTCATACGCATGTGAAAGCTGGACAATGAATAAAGGAAGATGGAAGAAGAATCTGATGCTTTTGCATTATGGCGTTGGCGAAGAATATTGAATATACCGTGGGCGGCCAGAAGAACGAACAAATCTATCTTAGAAGAAGTACAGCCAGAATGTACCTTAGAAGCAAGGATGGAGAGACTTTGTCTCATGTATTTTAGATATGTTATCAGGAGGGACCAGTCCCTGGATAAGGACATCATGCTTGGTAAAGTAGAGGGTCAGCAACAAAGAGGAAGACCTTCAACAAGATGGAATGATACAGCGGCTGTGACAATGGGCTCAAGACTAACAATGACTGTAAGGATGGCACAGGACTGGGCAGTATTTTGTTCTGTTGTACACAGGGTCATTATGAGTGGAACCGACTTAATGGCACCTAACAACAACAATCATATTAATAAAACTAAAACTTCAAATCTAGTTATTCAGCCATTGGGTTTATTAAAAAAAACAAAGTGAGATAATTTTGTTCTTTCACTGCTAATTGCTAAATTTAGCAAACAACTGTCACATTGGGAGGAAACAGCAAAATGTATCAGTAAATACGTAACATCAACGATTTAATGGTGTTACTCATCAGTGGAATGAGAATTCCAGAAGATGAAGATTATGGTATTAAAAAACTAACTTGACCAGCAACAAAATACAAATGGTGTGTGAAGGTGCTCAAGAGATTGAAAACCTGTTTCTGGTGTTTTGAGAACTCTTCTTGGAGGAGTTGAGGATTACTCTGATCCCAATTGCATGCAGAGAAACTTATGAAGTAATTAGAGGGATCCAAAATAAAATAAAAGCATTCAACCAATCTCATTTACTACTCATAAAAAAGAGAAAATTACCTGATTGTTGTGGTAGACGTGTCTTTGCCTACTAAAAAGTGATGTTTGCCCTCTTTAATTTGCTGAGCCCATGTGGGATGAAGCCATATTATGTGAGAAAAATGGCCAGCATAAACTGCAGGCATAATCCAATTCTCAATACTTAATTTTCTGGAAAAAAAAATGAGAGAAGAAACATTAAAACTAGTCATGAGTATACTTTTTCAAAATAAATTTTCTCTGTGAAAATATTTTAAGATAGCAGGTCTCAAAGTCTGTCTGAGAACGCTTGGCGGTTGGGGGAGAGAGGTCCCCTGACACCTTTTCAGAGTGTTCACTAGGTCAAAACTATTTTCATAATACTAAGGTACCATTTGCCCTTGGCACTGTATTGACGTTTGCACTGATGGTGAACAAGCAATGGTGGGTTGGTGTCTTGAGATTAATCAAAGCACTGGCACCAAACTCTTCTAGCAGTCATCATGTTCCACCAAACACAACAACAAAAAAGCCAGTTTCACTTAAGGATGTTCTTCATGATTTTATTAAATCTTGATCCTTGAAGTATACACTTTTAAGTATTCTGTGTGGCAAAACTGGAAGTGCATATAAAGCACTTCTGCTACGTACTTTGAAGTACAATGGTTGCCTCAAGGAAAGGCACTTGTGTGATTGAACTGTGAGCTAAACACAATTTTTTCTTGAAAGGACTGACCGACAACTACGGTTATTTAGACTCGAATCTCAATTGTTGGATTCTACATTCCAACTAACCTTTAAGAAACTACTGCTTGTTAAGTTTTGGTGTAGTGCCAAAGAATATTCACAATTATCAAAAAGGCTATGAAAATTTTCTTTTTCTAATCACCTATCTTTGAAAGCCTGAATTTTCCTCACATACTCCAACCAAAACAACATATGGCAACAGATTTAATGCAGAAGTACATGAAAATCCAGCTGTCTTCTATAAAGGGAGATATTAAAGAGATCTTCAAAAAATGTAAACAATGCCAGTCTTCTCACTAAATTTTTTGGTTCTGGAAAATACCTTTATTTTACATAAGAATATCATACCTATGTTAACGAGTAGTGGGTTTATGATTATTATTTTGAAATGAATTAATATTTTAACATTTCCTAAGTTTTAATTTGAAATATGCCAAGTATTGATAGCTAAAACCTATATTTAAAGAGCTCAATAATTTTCAAGGGTGTAAAGGGGTCCTAAGGCCAAAAAATTTAAGAACCATTATTCTAAGACTAATTATACAGTTCTGCATACCTGCCTCATAATTCTTTCTTCAATTTCTAAAATATAAAACCTCCAAATATGTAAGAAAGTAATGACAATGGGTATAGCTAAATTTCTTTAGGAATTAAACTCCAAACTGGAGTTTTGGAAAGTAAACTAAAAAAATGTAGTAGTAGTAAAATTAACTCACGAAAGTCAAGTATCTATCTTTTAACTTTATATTATAACACAGCAACATTACTGTTATGTAACTTTTTATATTACATAAGCAGGCTACATTCTAATAATTATATACATGAGGAATACTGACAGAATTTCAGGGAACTTTATTCACAGAAGCGAGGCTAGTAAGTAGTTATTAGGTAGATCCTTCCTGAAGAATGGAGTGCAAACTACCAAGTTTACTTCCATCTCTATGATTTTATATAACTGAACGTCAACAGGGTTTGTGACCTGAAAATAAACAAATCGAGCAGTAGGAAGGACTCAATCCTGGGAGGGAGAGGATAAGAAATTAAAAAATGTGTTGCTTATACAATTATTAAACTATGCGTTTAGATAAGACATGCTTTCTTGTGCCTCAGTATCCAGACTTTTAAAAGGGACAGAGACAACTGGGTCAGATAATTTCTCCTCTACTTCTAAAATCATATATTCTACATCAGGGGTCGCAAACTTTGGCTGGGCTACTGTTTTCGTAAATAAAGTTTTACTGAAATACAGCCACAGTCATTTGTTTAAAGTGTCTATGGCTGCTTTTGTACTACAAAGGCAGAGATAAATAGTTACAACAGAGGCTATATGGCTACCAAGCCTAAAATATCTACCATCTGCCTCTTTAAGAAAAGTCTGCTCGCACTATTCTAAATAAAACCTAAAAGGCAAGCAAAACAAAATAAAAATCCTTGCGTTTAGCAAAGTCTATTTTCCTTAATTCTTGCCTTCTGTGCGGGAGACCTACGTTGGATTCCCAGCCAATGCACCTCATGTACAGTGTCACCACCCATCTATCAGTGGTAGAGGCTTATGTGTTGCTACGATGCTGAACAGGTTTTAGCAGAGCTTCCAGACTGAGACAGACTAGGAAGAAAGGCCTGGTGATCTACTTCTGAAAATCAGTCAATGAAAACCCTATGGATCACAACCGTTTGATTCTGGGGATGGCACAGGATCAGGCAGCATTTTGTTCCATTGTGCATAGTGTCACCATGAGTCAGAGGCCACCTCAATAGCAGCTAACATCACCATTTATCAGGGCAATTATATTTCAAGTGCATAAAAGGTCATTAACAAACATCACATATTACCCAAAGAGTGTTTCCTTGTCAAACACAGTGTCTGCTGGCATATTGACAGGAATAAGGAGATCCGGATGCGAATCAAAATGTACAAAACTTATATCACTGGCAGGAAGATGCTTTGAGCCAATGGCCCGGTATATAAAAGGCAGAACCTGTAGAGACATACACACATACATATTCAGAATTGGCACTGAAATCATGAGCACACACTCAACTGCAGATTGAAAAATACTGCTAAACATATCTTCACAAAACTTGTTAGACAGCAAACAAGTTGTTATAAAGTGAGGCAATATAAAATAAGTTTATCGTAGATGATTCAGATAACTATCTCAAGGCTTATTTTTTCCTGAAGACTTCGAACTTACTCCTCCAAAGGCTTAATGAACAGCTCTAGCTGCCATCCAGCCACTACCTCAAGCTCAACAGGTAACGTGGGGAAACCAGGACTGGGGCTCAGGAACAAAGTGGGTTAATTCTCAGTTCTGACATTAACTGTGTGTTCAAGCTACTCAGCTTTTTCCATTCTTTTAGGATGGCGGGGAGGGGCTAAGCGGTCTGTAAGGCTCTTTCTCCTTTCATATTCTCTGCAGTTCTAGTTTGAAAACGGAATTTGAAAGTACCGCCTAACCCAGTTTCCCTGTTCTCTCAGGCTCACAGACACTATGTCTAGGTCCTGAGAAATCCTTTCTCTTTAACTTCTCCATCCATAAATCCAGATCACCCTCTTCCTCTCTCATATCCAGAGAACCCCCAAGGCCTATTAATGCTGACCTTGGAAACATTTCTTAGATCCATCGCCACTTTATTAGGCTTCCAGAAGTCCGGATTAAGGCACTAATTTAGCTAAAGTAGCAAAAGATACTCTCTTTAGTGTTTATATATGCCGAGCACCGTATTAAGAGACGTATGTACACAATATGCACACAATAATACTCCTAATGGCCCCAGGAATGGTGGGATTATTGTCACTATTTCACAGATGAGGAACAGTATGCACAGGGCTTGGACCACCTGTTTCAACAAATGTTAGAACGGAGACCCAGGTCCTTAGCATAGCGCCTTCCTCTAAACAGCGGGACTGGGATGGAGAAGCCGAAGAGAGTTCCTCAGAAACTAGCGTTAATGCGCAGATTGAGAACGCCAGGCTCTGCTTGCAGACCGTCCGGGATCGAATCCCGGCGACACCAGTGTTTGGTTGTGGGAGCACTTCATAAACGTCAACTCCTATTCTCTCAAGTCAGCTGCTTTAGTGTCTTTCCCTACAGCCAAGGAACCCGCAGGTCATCTCTGCCTCCAATCCTAATCTCTGCCTTGCACTTGTCCTCGGAGCTCCAGTGCTCGGGGCGGTACTGCCCCCAAGCGCGCGGCGGCCGCCAACTCACCTCCTGATGATCCTCCGCCACCCACACCGGGAGCTCGGAGTAGCGCCGGAGGCGAACGCGCTCTCTCGCGGAGTCACTCATGTTTTCGCGCTTTCAGGGTTCCAGGTGGGGTTCCAGGGGGCCGGAGGAGCCGGGCGAGGACCCGGGACAGCCCGAGCCGCGGCCGCAGCCGCCGTCCCCAGCGGAAACGCGCGCTCACCCGGTTGCGGTTCCGGATTGGAGGACAGAGAGGGGGGGTTGGGGGGCGGGCGCCGGAGGGCTGGACGTAGCCGATTGGCTAAGATGGCCATCGCTCTTGTTGTCGCGCCAATCACCGCGCCCGGGGCGCTGCGGCGAGCCCAGGAGTTTCTCTCCCTTGGCCTTGCTTGCTCAGGTTTGCTATTTAATTCTCTCGGTTTCCTGTTCCGGAGGCGCGGCGGCACCGCTGTCTTGGCTGCTGCAGTGTAAGAGTGGCTTTTCTCTGACGGCGACCCTGCGGCCCGAGAGCCTTTCGTAGGTAAAAGGGACGCCTTGTGGGTGTTGGAAGAGGGCGTGTTTCCGAGTTCCCGTATTGAAACGGGGCCGGAGCCCCGGCCTGGAGAAGAAAGACGCCTGGGAGTTGGGGTCGGGCAGCCCATCCTTAGATTTGTAGATGAGGGCAAAAAGCAACCTGAGGCCCGGATCTCACAAGTGAGATATGAGACCTTTCATTCATTTATGGACCGGAGGCTGTGGGCCAGGCCTGTGGCCGCCCCGGTCTCTGAGGGAAGCGTGACGTGAGCCCCGCATTTACCTCCTGGGGTTCCCAGTCTGGCGGGAGATTGCGAACAGGGGAAATATGCAGTTATGGAGCAGCGGGATGAAGATGACCGGCCTGCAGATTCAACTGGGGAAGAGGAAGTTCTTAATAAAATGTGGACATCCTTTGCAACTTTTTTTTTTTTAAAATCTAGAGTGATGTTCCTAGACTTGTTAACTATTCAAAACACCTCCCTCAGTTTCCCTACTTGCAAACAGCAACCCAAGAATAGGCAGACCTAGAAAATATTTACTTTTCCACTTGCAGTGAATTCCTTGACTTTTGAGTTAAAGTTTGCATCCGCAACACAGCCTGACTATGCCTTTAATAGGTCAATTTCATGATCAACATTTTCTAACTATAGAAATAGTGAGTGTTCAGCTGCTAAACACTGTACAAGAGTGTTACTGATCCTGACTGTTGCCCACGTCTAGATTCAGCACATTTCTTTTGTTTCCCTTATACCTTTTGCATAGCTCTTTTCTTGAGTTCATCATGTTATATCTGTGTGTGTGTGTGTGTTTAAAAACTTACTTGTACAGAGATTCTGAGCTTGAGTCCTGCAGGCTATGTGTCTTTGCCATCTTTGAATTTCCTAGGCCTGGGACTGTGCTCCATGCGTACAGGCTCATTAAATGTTGCATGAATCAGTGAAAAGTCTTGCTCTCTGCCTGGTTTTGCTAATGCAAATTTGTTGTGATATATGTGAAAGGAACATGTACTGTAGCAACGTGGAAACGCATATTCTTGGTGAGATAGCAAACACTTAGTGATCACCTACTGTGGGTAGGATGCTCTGTCAGGGTCTGTGAAAGATACAGAAATGACTGAATCAACCCAAGTCAAGGAACTAATAATCTAGTGGAGGAGTTACACATGTGCATACAAGGCTATAATATGAGGCAGTCTCTGGATACTATAAAAGAAGTAAGTATAGACTAAAAGCAATGGGAGTCTAGAGGAACAACCAAGAAAGGCTTCATGGAGGAGGTGGTATTTGAGATAGGTGGATGCGTAGGAATTCATTGGGCAGAGATGTAGAGTAGGAGATTTTAGAAAGGAGTGGGAGCAAAAAACCAGCTGACTGTAGTACTTGGTATGTTAGGTAGGTGGGAAAATCTGGGGTGATAAGGGCTTTTTGGGGAAGTAATGGACGATAAACCTGGAAGGAGATCATGGGTCCAGATTGTGGAGGCCTTAAGTGCCAACATGGAGTTTGAATTCGATTCTGTTGTTGGTAAGTAGCCTGTGGTAGCAAGATTAGCTGTCTGAGTCCCGGTTTATCTTGAGGGCATTGGACTGAATAATAATCATTGAACATATGATTTGGTGCCTGCAGTGGGCTCAAGCATAACAGTGATTGTGAGGATGGCACAGGACCGGCAGTGTTTCTTTCTGTTGTACGTAGGGTCACCATGAGTCAGAACCGACTCTATGACAGTTAATAACAATATTTATTCTGCACAGTGATGTTGTTAGGTGCCATTGAGCACAGTGATAGATACAGCTAAATCTGAAACTATTTTTATGAGCTTCCTGGAGAAGGACATCATGCTCATTGAAGTAGGGCATCAGTGAAAAGGAGAAAGACCCTCGAGATGGATGGACACAGTGGCTGTAATAATGGGCTCAAGCATAACGATGATTGTGAGGATAGCGAAGGATCAGGAAATGTTTAGTTCTGTTGTACATAGGGTTGCTGTGAGTCGGAACCGACTCGACTGCACCTTACAACAACAGCAACAACAGTGAAGAATGTTTACACCTCCAGAGCTGCATCTGTTTGCTGAAACATCTCAACTGATATTCTGTCACTTCCTGGATCCTTGTTTTTCACCAGTGCCTTCAGTGCAGCTTGGACTTCTTCCTTCAGTACCTGATCATGTGCTACCTCCTGAAGTGATTGAATATCAACCAATTCTTTTTGGTACAGTGACTCTGTAGTCTTTCAGTTTTCTTTTGATGCTTCCTGCATCGTTCATTATTTTTCCCTTAGAATCCTTAAATATTGCAACTTGAGGCTTGACTTTTTTCTTCAGTTCTTTCAGCTTGAGAAATGCCAAGCGTGTTCTTTCTTTTTGGTTTTCTAACTCCAGGTCTTTGCACATTTCATTATAATACTTATTTTGTCATCTTGAACTGCCCTTTGAAATCTTCTGTTCAGCTCTTTTATGTCATCATTTCTTACATTTGCTTTAGCTACTCTATGTTCAAAAGAAAGTTTCAGAGTCTCTTCTAACATCCATTTTGGTCTTTTCTTTCTTTCCTGTCTTATAACCTTCTGTTTTTTTCATGTTTGATGTCCTTGTTGTCATCCCACAACTCGTTTGGTCTTTAGTTGTTAGTGTTCAGTGTGTCAAATCTATTCTTGAAATGGTCTCTAAATTCAGGTGGGATATACTCAAGGTCATATTTTGGCTCTTCTGGACTTGTTTTAATTTTCTTCAGCTTCAACTTGAACTTGTATATGAGCAATTGATGGTGTGTTCCGCCTTGTTCTGACTGATGATATTGAGCTTTTCCCTCATCTCAGATGTAGTTGATTTGTTTCCTGTGTATCCCATCCGGCAGGGTCCACGTGTATAGTTGCTGTTTATGTTGTTGCAAAAAGGTATTTGCAATGAATAAGTTGGTCTGACAAAATTCTATCGTGTGATCTCCTGTGTCATTTCTATCACGTAGGCTATGTTTTCCAACTACCAGTCCTTCTTTGTGTCCAGCTTTCGCATTCCAATCACCAATAATTATCAATGTATCAATGTATTGCACGTTTGATCAATTTCAGACTGCAGAAGTTGGTCAAAATCTTCAATTTCTTCATCTTCGGCCTTAGTGGTTGGTGTGTAAATTTGAATAAGTGTTGTATTAACTGGTGTTCCTTGTAGGCGTATGGATATTATCCTATCACTGACAGCGTTGTACTTTAGGAGAGATCTTGCAATGTTCTCTTTGATGATAAATGAGACACCGTTCCTCTTGAAGTTTTCATTCCCAGGATCGTAGACCATATGATTGGCCAACTCAGAAGGGCCAATACCAGTCCATTTCAGCTCACGAATGCCTAGGATAGCAATGTTTATGTGTTCCATTTAATTTTTGATGACTTGCAGTTTTCCTAGATTCATACTTCATAAATTCCACATTTTGATTATTAATGGATGTTGGCAGCTTTTTCTTCTCATTTTGAGTTGTCACATCAGCAAATGAAGGTCCCAAAAGCTTGACTCATGTCCATGTCATTAAAGTGGATTCTACTTTGAGGTGGCAGCTCTTCCCCAGTCATATTTTGAGTACCTTCCAACCCGAGGGGTTCATCTTCTGGAATTATATCAGAAAATCTTCCGCTGCTGTTCATAAAGTTTTTACTGGCCAGTTTTTTCAGAAGTAGATCATCAGATCCTTCTTCCTAGTCTTTCTTAATTTGGAAGCTCTACTGAAACTTGTCCACCATGGGTGACCCTGCTGGTGTTTGAAATACTAGTGGCATAGCTTCCAGCATCACAGGAATACACAAGCCACCACAGTACAACAAACTGACAGATGAATGGTGGTAGCTGTTTGGAGAACACTTATGTGTATTTTATTCTTTTTGTCCCTTAGAGCTTATGTTCTGTGTGGAAGATGTGAATATCCAGGCAGTACAACATGATGCAAGGCAATACATGGTGAGTAATGGCAGTAGCTTGAAAGAATGCAGAGAGGAGCAAACACAGGAGCTGAGCCATAGCAGGTTGAATGGCTTTAGATCTATGAAGAGTGAGGGAAATGTGTTCATTCTTTCAACATTTGGCCATGTACATGGCTAGGAACCCAACCAGACCAGTTAATGGGACATCCTGGAGCCCTGCTCTGACAGAACTTGTAGTCCTGAGGTGCAGCCCAATTTTAAAGATAGAATTACGTAATCATCTGGTGTATTACATTATTGTAGAAACTGCCAAGAAGAAGCAGAGTGTCTTGAGAGCAGGGAACCCAACGAAGGCCGTGGGGATGGTTATGGTGGTTGTGGAAAGGCCAGCAAAGATGTTATTGTATTAGCCAGATAAGAGATGGTGGTGTGAAATGGATGAATTCAAGAAATGTTTATGAAGGAGAAAGAATGGGAATTTAAAAATAATTAGGAAGGTAAGGGAGGAAAAGTTGTCAAGTGTTTATGACTTGAGGACCTGGGTGAAACATGGTGTCATTTATTGAGATAGGTAAAGTAGAAAAGGAGCAAGTGTTGTCTTGGAGGAAAAGGTCATTCATTCCCTTCAGGATATGTTACGTTGAATTTGGGAGTTGGTGAGACATTGGAGAGGGGTCTGGTAGCAATTGGCAACATGGATCTGGAGCTCAAAAGTTGACA